CATTTACCCCTTCTGCTATGTGTATGTCTTCTAGAAACAGTCATGCTCTCATTGTGATTTGAGGCAGTTTTAAACCAGGTTAGCTTCATGTGATCCTCTGAAAATCCACTGGTAGTCTTCTCTCAGCACTGTGACTTCCCCTCTCAGCATGGCCCACTACCATCACCAGTCCCATCACTTCCCAGTCACTCCTCTACAATTATCAGGAACAGAAAAATAGACAAAATGCGTTAGATCAAAGGTCCCTATTGCCCAGTAACCTGTCACTGCCAGGGGACAATAGCAGACATGTAACAACTAGGAAGGCATACAGGCACTATACTGGAAAGTGTTGCTCTTTCCTATTGACAGATCTTGTTTGATTTTTGCTGTTACGAATTTGCCCAAATACTTTTCAAACCCACTTAAACTTTTTTTGTATTTGGACCATTTTGTGTTAGTAAATCCCAAAGTTTAATTTGACCTGACTTGCTAGTGCAGCAAGGACTTCAACCTTTGACATTAAGTTAGATGTTTAATTAACAAAGTCTAGCTTTAGTCCATACAAAGCTTCCAGAGCAGGACACTCCAGCAGACGTCTTACCAACAGCAGAGTAGTACATCAGACCAGTGTGACCTATTTCTGGAGGTATCATGTCATGCACATTTTTTCACTTTCGAAGGAGCTGATTCTCCCCCTTTACTCTTCCCTGGTGAGACCCCACCTGCGGTGCTGCATCCAGCTCTGGGGCCAACAATGCAAGAGGGACGTGGAGCTCTTGGAGCAAGTCCAGAGGAGGCCAGAACGATGATCAGAGGCTGGAGCAGCTCTGCTCTGGAGACAGGCTGAGAGAGTTGGGCTTGCTCAGCCTGGTGAAGGGAAGCCTCTGGGGAGACCTCAGAGCAGCTTCCAGTGCCTAAAGGGGCCAACAAGAAACCTATAGAGGGGCTTTTCACAAGGACATGTAGTGACAGGACAAGGGAGAACAGCTTTAAACTGGAAGAGGAGAGATTTAGATTAGATATACACTAAAATTCTTCTTTGTGAGGTGGTGAGGCTCTGGCACAGGGTGCCCAGAGAAGCTGTGGCTGCCCCATCCCTGGCAGTGTTCAAGGCCAGGCTGGACAGGGCTTGGAGAAACCTGCTCTAATGGAAGGTGTCCCTGCCCGTGGCAGGGGGTTGGAACTGAATAAGCTTTAAGGTCCCTTCAATCCAAACCAGTCTGGGATTTTATGATTCTTATATCTGTATGCTTTTCCACCAAAATTTGCTTCAGTAACTCAGGGTGGTGAGGAGCACTGATTAATTCTACCCATCATGTTGATGGCTATTTCCCTCTCACAGGATCACCCTGATTGGGTATGTCTATGAGAAATGGGAACATATCCTGAATTTCACAGAACTTTATCCAGGACTCCAGCACACAGACTGGCTCAAGCTAGAAGGGTCAGCTAAGTCGGGTTCATTTCCACCTTGCTAACAGCAATGGAGCCTCATAAACGACACTCCCTCATCACCCATTTTCTCATTGCCCATGTATCTCCCTCACTGAAACCTAACACAAACCAAATATTTAATCCTGGAACCAGGATGTTTATACTCATTTTCTTTTCTATCCTACCAACTTGTATGTACATGTAAAAGAACCTTTTACTTCACATGCTTTGCAATTTGCAGCTAAGCTTGAACAGTTGGCAAACTCTCCCTGTTCCTACATTTCCTGACATATCAGGATTTTTCCATCCCCTGAAGACTTTTTGCTTATTCCTGAAAGCCTTCCTGAAGCAGTTATTTGTCCAAAGAAATACTGAGCCCTTCCTATATATTCTCTTCTTGCTTACTAGGGCTATTGATTCTGTTTAGGCAGGAGATTCCAGGGTTTCCATCAGGCTCCAGACCCCCTCCAGATTTATACCCCATAGCTCCCTGCCCAGAGACTCCCCTAGACGTTGCATTTTCAAACATGAGAGCTGGATGCTGTCCTGGTTACTGCAATGGCAGCAAGTCTCAGTCACCTCTAGGAAAGACTTGGCTACGGCACTCCTATGCCATTTTAAGCACTTTTCCCACTGATATGCCACACTTTTGTTACAAAGCCTGCCCATCAATCCCATGAACCAGAGCTACTCATCTTATTTTGCTCATTCTTCCATTTATGTTAAGCTGAGCCAAAGTATTAGCCTCGGCTCTCTGTTCAACAAGCTCATTCACCAAAGCCAAACCAGCATCACCTATTACTGTTTGTCTCCTTTTTTTTTTCCCCAAATCAAATAACGATATAGCTGTCCTGTCTATGCCTAAGCACTTCTGATTAGCAGCAATTGTTCTGCAAGTAGATCTGGTTATTTAAAGTGTCTCATAACAATAAAAAGATATGATTTCCGGTTAGGTTTAATACGAAAAACCTTCCTCATAGGCAAATTTAGCCCATGGATCTGTAGCAAGTTTCTAGCACTATCCTAATAGAACTTCATATATTAAAACACATCTTGGATTAATTTGAGATTAGCTGAAACCTAAAGCATTGCACCTAGACTTTCCTGTTTCCCTGTTGAAAGAGAAACTTTCCTTCACCTATGAGAATCCAAAACCTGCTAGGCTATTTCAGATTTCATTACATCCCACTGAGTAGAAAGCTCCCTTTCTCCCTTCTAATTCTGACAACAGCACTACCTAAGCTGTGAGTGCTCAAGTGGCATCAAGTAAAGACTCAAGACTGAGGAGGGCAGAAGAGATTCAACATGTTTTAAGACCAATCATTTTTCCAGTATATTATCACATGAGCATTAAAAAAACCCCAACACCATCAAAAGAACAGATGAGGCAGCACTTAGCTGAAGATTATTACTCTGAGACTCAGGTCAAATTTGCATCTCACTTCCACCAAGCCTTTTTTTCCCTGTTTTCTACTTGCATCCTTGCCAATGAAGTGCAAAAGGTTAATTTTTATTACACCAGCTTTTAAATAATTACAGATGTAGTCAGAAGCTTTGTACTTGTGTTTATTGTCCAGCCTAAGACACAGATGCAATGATGTCCGAGCCCAACCACAGAACACCCATATTTCAAGTGGGTTTCATGGGCTGTCACTCAGTTTCTTCTTTTCTCTCCCCAGTTTTGCGATGAAAGTACTTGAAATAACCACAGACAAAGCAGGACAGTGCTGAGCTGCCTGCCCCAAGAGACCCAGCCGGGTACTTACGTTTTACCATCACCCTCCCACAAAATGATTAAAAAAAGAAAGAATAAAGTAAAAAATAAACCTAATCTGGTGAGTTTCCTGTTACCAGAAAAGCAACATCTAGCCCTGCTGTGCTGTTGCTCCCCCCCACGCTCCCTGATATTAACGAGGTATACAAAGAAGTCCTACCCAGCAGGATGAGGCTATGGCTTCAAAAAAAAATCCAATGATTTAAATGTAATTTTAGATCTGCAAGCGCTGCCAAGCACCACTTTATTTGTCAACAAAACGTTTTTGATTATTTGGCAGAACAAAGCAAGCTCCCTCCCTGCTTTCTCCACAGACATATTTGGCACCGGTTAATTTGTATGTCTTTAGAAATATGTCAAGTCTGAAGCTGTTTCAGGCTTTAACCCCGCAGAACTTCTCTCTTTTAAGTACTTGTTTTTCTTAAAGCAGTAACAGCAGCAAGTTAAAGCCAAGGAGGGATTTGATCCTGCAACGAAATGGTTAAAAATCAGACTCTGCTGATGTGGGCTTCTCTGATCCATTCCATTTCTCGCAAGCTGAGCTAAGAGCTGAGCACCAAGTATCAACTGTAACATGATCCAAGAGTTTATGGAAAAAATAACTGCACATACCAAGCATGCACATTTAATAAGATTTTGTTGCCATTAAAATATTGGAAAAACACGATTTTTTAGGATCTGCTTCTCCCCCGAATGATTTTTTCAGTGTTTCTCCTCCCCCCTCTCCTCAACACACACCTCCTTTCCAAAAAAACAAACCCTTAAGAAGAAGGGAAAAAAAAAAAAAAAAGCAGTCCTACTGCAGGGAAGAGAGGCTTGAAAAACAACTTTGATTGGCACTTGGCCTGACCCACAGAGGAAGAAAAACAGTTTTTGGACAAAGAGCGCAAATATTTGAGCTCATTGACTTACAGGCTTTTCTTAGCACTTGCAAGAACCAACCTGGAGCTGAATGTATGGGGAAGAGATTGAATTAAACCAAACCCCCGGACGGCACCGCGTTCATCCCGGGCGCTCGGGCTGGCTCGGCGCGTTTGCACAGCTCAGCAATTTTAATTCATTTGCGCTGGACAAACAAAAAGCACCTCAACTCATGCTCCCCGTTAAGCAGATGTCGGGAGGAGGTGGTAAAGGGATTACCCTTCTTCTGAAGCACCCAGGGTTCAGCAAAGGGGCGGCTGGACACTGCAGGGGTAGGGGTTAAGGGGTTGGGGAGGCGGGTAGGGGCTTTTGGGGGCTTTTTCTATGTCCTTAAAGCTCTGATTTTCTATGTCTTTAACGCCCCCCGCCAAGACCGGACGGGGATTGCAGTGAATTCTGCCGGTTAAGTACGTGGATAAACTTTCCAAGAGCGGCTGAGCCCCAACTCAACCCCCCCATGCCATAGGGGAGGCCAAGCACCCCTAAACCCTCCGGAAGGTGGGGAGGCAGCCCTGTGCAGGGGCAGGTGACACCTGCCCCGATGGGGGGAAGGCAATGGGGGTGCGGGACCTAGCACCCCCCGGCACCGCTGGGGCCGCATCCCTCCTGCCCCACACCCCACACCCCCGGCACCCACCTCAGGGAATGCCCCCCAGATCCCCACACACTGCTCCGGCTGCCCCACACACTGCCGCCGGTGCCCCACAGCCCCCACCCCACTCCCCTCCATCCCCCCGCCCCACTGCTGCCCTATGGCCCACTTCTCCTGGCAAACCCCACCCCCCCAAGTCTCTGCCCCATCGCCCTGCTCCAAGTCTTTCCCCCCTCGTCTCTCGCAGGCCCTCAGCTCCCACCACCTCACAGCGACCCCCCCCCCCCCCCTCGGTACCTGTCTCGGCACCTTCCGGCAAATGCCGCACACCCGGTACTGGCCGGCGGCGGAGGCGGCAGTGGCGCTGCCCACGGGGCCGGAGCCGAGGCGGTTCATGGTGCCGGGGAGCGCGGCTGGGGTGTGTCGTATGCAAATGAGGCGCAGCAGGCCCCGCCCCCGGCGCGGCGGGCTGTGAGGGAGCGGCGGGCAGGCGGGCCGGAGCGGGGTGGGTGCTGTGCGGCCAGCTTCGGCTGTGACCGCGGTTCCGCTCGGGGCTGCTCCGTTGCGGAGCCATCCCCGGAGGCCCAAGTGTTAGGGTACGGACCCGGGGTTACCGGTGTGCTGAGTGCAGGCCCGCTAGGCCCTCGGTGCCCCTTCCTACAGCAGCTGGTCCGTTAACCGTGGCCGAAGGAGTCCGGGGCGGGGGTCTGCCTGTGTGGAGGCCGAGCTGCTCTGTGCAGCAGTGCCCGCTCTGAGGCGGCAGGCCGCGCATGCAAGGACAAGACTGCTGTGCTGCCAGGCAGAGCAGCATTAGGTATTTGCTTTAGGGGAACGATGGGAGCACGCATGTGTGTGTTTGCCTCGGGAAGCCGGGATTGTTAGAAATGATGAGTCAGGTTTTCTAGGCTCCATGCTAATGCACGGAGATGGAGTGTGTAATTAGGACAGAGGCAAATCTATAATCTGCAGCCTGAGATAGCTGGGGTATAAACCTCTCCTTTACATCATGGCATCGCCAAAGTTTTCCTTGTTTGTGTGCTCTTCAGCTTTAGGTTTTAAATACGTCTGTAATGAGCTTTAACATGTAGTCCCACTGACATAAAACTTTATTAAATATCGACCATTATATAATTCCTGTCTTGAAAGATGATGGCATAGATGGATTTGATTTCGTTATGGAAACAATACTATAGCCCTATGAAATTTCCGAGCAGATTTGGGATGTTACATACATTGTTTCCAAGGTTTCTCCTGGCAAAGCACTTGTAAATCAGCTGCTTGAGAACCGTCATCTGCTTTGCCTGAGAATACTTTCTGCAGAATGAAGTGTTGTGTAATTTAGTCAACTGGCTGCCTAAAAAGGGCACAATGCAATTAGTGATTTACATCTCTTAAAGGAGACTGATTGTACCTAGATCTGATTGCGAACTGCTGAAAAACTCCTCTGATCAGGCTTTGCCACTGTAAGTAGAACCCCATCCACAGAAACACCCCTCTCCATTCTTCCCCTTCCATCCACAGCAAATCATCCTCCATCCTTCCTCTTCCATGACAGCAAAATCCTCCTCCATCCTTCCCCTTCCACCCGTTTCCAAAGGGATCTTTTCCTCAGGTGGAGCTGCCTTCAGCAGACAGGCGCTCTATGAACTCTGTTGTTGCCAGTCAATTCAGTGTGGAATGCGTCCAAATGTTGCAGTCACAGGCTGCCATGCAAAATGCTTGGAGAGGAATAAATGGAAGTGGGTTTCTTTTTCCAAGCAGTGTCATAGAAATGGCATCCCAATGTGAGAAAGCAGTTTGCTTGAGTGTAGGTATTTGCTATGCCAAGTCTGAATCCCATGTGCTGCAGCATGGTGCTTTTAAACTGAGTGACAAAGGGGAGCCAAACAAGTTGGTTTCCATCACTTAATTTGAATGTAATGCTAAAATCATAGAACTGTTTAGGTTGGCAAAAGACCTTTACGATTATCAAGTCCAACTGTTAACCCAGCACTGCCAAGTCCACCGCTAAACCACGTACTCAAGTGCCACACATGTAAAGATGTAAGTAAACAATATGAATGATGTAAATGGCTTTTTATTTCTTGCTGAACTCTGTGATAATGTTATCTGAAATAAGTTTTGAAAGAAGCAGAATAGGATCAGTTATAGCCACAAGCAATGGAGAGTTGACTTTTCAGTACAAGAAGCATCACTTTGAGTCATTTACTGTCAAAGTGCCTGCTTCAAAACTCAAATCCATTGGCAAGGATGGTAGCAGGCAAGTCTGAAACACAGGTTGGAGAATGATTCTGACTCAGCTATTCTTAATATTTAACACTGGGACATTGGCGAACACTCAGATTTCAATAACTGCATCCATTAATTTATTTTTATTTCCACAGTGGCAAGAACACATGACTGGGCATCCTCAGAAATGGGATTGGATCCCTTTTCTCTGCACTGAAATGATTTCTGCCTTGAGTGACAACTTCAGACCTTTAGCAGAGCCCATTAAACCAAGGAAAATTTCCCATTTCCCAAGTGTGAAAGTTGGGCTGAAAATTGGAGAAATTTGATATCTGCTCTCTGTTCTGCCACAAACCTCTTGTGCAAGGGGTGGGATGTGTATGCCCAGATGCTTGAAGTATTTGGTTGACTAACCCTCACTTAAACCATAAGCGCTTAAGTACCTTTGTGGCTCCCAGTCTTGCCTTTCAGTGCTTTAGTAGCTGAGAAATGTCAAGAGAAGCATAAACTTTGAAAGTGTTTCATTGGTTTTGGAAACAATACCTCAAATGGAAGTTGCCTGTAATCCTTTCCTGCACCCAACAGGAATTCTCTTGGATATATTTTCTGAAGTTTGTTTTTTTTTCGCTGCATTTTCTTTTTATAAAGAGTTTTGATGCCTAATAGAGATCAGAAGTTGACCTAATAGGGCTAGATGCAGTGCTTATCCAGTACTAGGTAATTAGTGTGTAATGTGTAGATTATAAGAACTTCGCTTGTTCCATTTTGAGTTAAACATATGCAGAAGCTCTGCAGAGTAAAAGCCTCTCTTTGTGCAAGCTGGCTTCTTTGTGAATGTATTCATATTCTTGGAAGTTCTCCTTGTAAACTGATTTCTCAGAAGAAATATTGCAAAAAACATTCAGTGCTCCCTTCACAATTGTCTGACAGCTTTTATGATCCAACGGCACCTCACTCTCCATCCACTGCTATGGATTTCTTTCAGGTTTTGCCCAGTTACTGAGTCGTACAGGAAAGCAGAAACCTGGAAACGAGGTAAATGAGTTACAAGCAGCCTGGCATCTTGACCTGCCTGGAAACTCAAAGAAGGTTGTCAGTTTTATAAACCCAACCAGTCTGTTGAGGTCACCTGGAGAGGCTGCGAGTCATTGCCATGTGTGGGAAAGGTGGAGACCTCTGTTTTCTTGATGACACGGAGCATACTGGCTTGAGACCATCACATCCTTCCAGAGAGATTACTGACCTGCCAAGGTAGAGTTGCACAAGTGGTATGGCTTTAGACAGATTTTTATCATCAATGATCATAACTTTTGCAAAGTCTGAAAACCAAACGCTATGATGAAACAAGACAGGAGCAAACTTCCAAAGGAAGTACGGATTTCTCTGCCTCCTGAAATCATCAGATGCCTTTTTGGCAGGCACATTGCAGCCAGGTGTGGACTGCTGCCCTTGCTGTAGGAGTGGATGAGATGTGACAGCCTTTGCTAGAAGGCCAAAGTTTTCCCAGTCCCTTATGCCATGTTAGCCTTCAAGCTAACATGGTTCAAACAGATTGACTAAGAACCATAGCTCATCCAAACGTCAAGCTGCTCCATCCCAGAATGAGCACTTATACCACGGTTTAACACTGATACCAGCTCTGAACCCCTGCTGGGGATCCAGTATTTCTGCCTGGAATTTCCTGAAGAGAAGGTTAAGATGGGGACACAATTGCATCTGTCCACCAGGGATGGGGCAGTGCCCCATCATCCCCATACTAAAGAATCATTACATCCAGCAACCGTCCCCTACACAACCAATCCATGAGAGAGCACGCACAGAGTGCTAAGTTAAAACTTAACAACAGGGGAGATTCAGGTAAGATGTAAGGAAGAAGTTCTTTATTATGAAGGTCATGAGACAATGGCACAAGTTGTCCAAGGAAGTTGTGAATGCTCCATCCCTGGAAGTGTTCAAGGCCAGGCTGGACAGGGCCTTGGGCATCATGATCTAGTGGTCTTAAGGTCCTTTCCAGCCCAAACCATTCTATGATTCTATGATTGTTCTTGCAATAAGAAGTACCTATGTAGATCAACCGTACAGTATTGGCTCTGCATTGTGTCCTGGCAAAGCCAGTCTAGCTGCTACGTACTGTGCAGGCACTATCGGAGCATTTGGTATGTCTACATGATGCTTCCCAAGCTGTGCACCTACTGCACAAAGTGTGCAGTGCTTTTGTTGTTCATACATTAATGCAAAAGCTTGATGCTTCCTGAAAAGATTGGACTGACAAGATCAAGAGCTGTAAAATCGAACTCGTTATGCAGTGAATATGTTTGTGATTCATAGACCTCCAGCAGCTCGCAGAGAGAGGAAAGGAGGGGGCAGCTGAGTTCTGACAGGATTGCTGCTAGAAATCCTGCATGAAATTAAAAGATCCTCACGGTTTGCCCAGAAGCGGGGAAGGAGGGCATGCCGGAGCACCCAGCTCTGGAGCTGTATCCACTCTCCCTGTCCGACTGCCACAATAAAGCGCTGCGTGCGTGGTTAGATGAGGTGGTTGACACATGTCACATGCCTTATGTTTCAAGAGCCCGTGAATCATTCAGTAAAGCCATCCCAAACATGGATACATAGGAAAATAAATGTGGTTTCTCCAGGCCAAAAATCCAGCCCATTGCTATTACGTCAAACGAGTGATAATCCTGCTTTCATTATCGTGGTGTTTGTTGCACTGTTTTGCTCTCATTTGCACAGGATTTATATTGCACTGTTAGGGGAAGGAAGGGCAGCAGATAAAGTTTGTGCCCTGAGTGATGTTATGCACGCTTTGACACTCCAAAACGACTTCCCATCCTTATGATTACACATCCTAATTTGCAAAATGAGTGTTCAGATAATTGCAGGAGACAGGGAGATGTGATAGTTTGTAGAATTCTTCCTCCAGGGTGGGGGCACACGCCTTTTCATTTACAGCCTTTAAACCCTGACTAGATAAAGCACTCAAAATTATGTTTATCATAAGAAACAATTACAGCCTGGCGCAGGGGAGCTGAGCTTACTGGCCTAATAGGCCTTTTTAATATCTAATTTCTTTGACAGTTAAATAACTCAAAAAAGGATTAAATCACTACCCAGCCAAGAAATCTCTTGTCCTCTCTCTTTATGTTCTGCTGTGGTTTGCATGGTAATTCGCTAAATATATTTCAACATGTTGTTTACTTCAGCCTTCTGAGACCACACTGGCCAATGCTGTGAGCCTGTAAATAGGGATCATCTGGAAAAAAATAAGCTATGCTTTGAGTTAACTTTGGAAGTATTTTGTCCTGTACAGTTTCTGGGAGTGATACAGCAGGGAAATGCGTTAATTGAAAAAGAATCTGAAAGGCAGGACAAAGGTAGCCTGGTCTTACTCTCTGCAAAAGGAGAACTACAAGTAATCCCTTGCAATGTATTCGTATTAGTGTTGAAGATAGCCATACCTAGCAGATTTAACGACAGCAGCAGGACTATATTTGGTGACAGAAATGTGTCTCTCCTCCAGGGCTGGAGGTGGAGTTCATGGGATGGACATGCGGAACAGGGACAAGTCTGGGTCTTGGCACTGGCCACGCAACCATGGTGTGAGGCACTGTGAAGAATGCACCTTAAGTTTCATCCGTCTCCTAAACATGGGTGCCTGCATCAAAGCTGTGGTTATGGCATCTCTGTGAGATGTTGGTGTCCTGCAGTGCTGTGGGTATGGGTCCAGGAGGCAAGACTTCCTCCAGAAGACAGAGGAATGCTGCTGACCTTTGGCTGGGACATGGGAGCTTGTGCCTTGGCTCCCAGGTACATCACACATCGCTGAGGAGTACAACCGAGCCACTGCAGGTCAGGCTGTGTAAAAACACGTTGAGCCCTCCTCTGCATACCATGAGTTCAAAAGCCAAGGAGCCCAGAGAGAGCAAGCAGGAGGTAGCTGGCTCAGATGCCTGCTGGCTGGGGTGGTGAACTGGAAACTGGGTTTTGCTGCCTGTTTCCTTGCACTGCTGTGGCTCCATTCTGTGCCCAGCCAGTGAGAAGCACACAAATGTCTTTGGCTGAAAAATCCTGAAATGTCTCAAGCAGCAGAACTTGTCTGTTCATATTTTGCAAATGAAACACATGGTACGGCAGGATGCCACATTAAGAATGGAGCTGATCAGTGAAATTAGCTTCCTGTATTCACTGGCAATGTTATGACTTTCATTATTTTCAAATACAAAAAGCAAATACAAAACTCAACAGCTTTTGGGATATGGCACATAATTTAGGTCCATTTCCTATTGAAGACCCTGAGATATGAACATAAGTATGTTGGAAGATCAGGCTGAATTATGGCAGAGTTTTATTCTTTGTTTCTAGACAAAGAAGAGCTGAAGTGCTGAAAGATTTGCATCTGTTATGGACTTGTCTTCTTTTGATTTAAAAATGGTTTTACCCTGTTTCATTATTTTTCTGACAGTTACACCCTGAAAAAACAGAGTGTTAGTGAAATGGGATTTCCTCAGAAGGTACCACACTTAGAAGCAATTAGGCATGTGAGTGAAGGCAGTTAGCACATGGGATCTTCCCCGGCAAAATCAGCTAAGTGCTGAAGGCTTGTTTGCATGGCATGTTTCTTCTTTCATCGATTGCCATCCAGATGCCAAGAATATCCTTGGACAGGAGAGGTTCCAAATGTTGAGATTTAGTCTTAAAGCAAGACCCCTGAGGGGGAGATTGCTGACTGAACCAGCAGCACAGCATGCCTGTGTGGAGCCATGCAACCCACCAACCTTGGCACTTCTGTCTCCTTCCCTCCTTCATGGCCAGGCAGTGCCCGCTGTGACATACCAAAATACAGCACGCAGGATGGGCCCAGCCATCTGGTACTGCCGAGCAAGAGGAAAGGAGCAGCAGCTTCCCTGGACCAACATCAGCCGACTCCTTTCTGCTCCCGTCTCCTCTAGCCTGCCAGTTTGTCTGCTGCCAGATGTAACTGCATGACTCCTGCATGTAGATTTGCCTTTGAAGACTCTCTGACCTATTTCAGCCTGGCTTTGCAGTAGGCATAAGCTCTATTTATAATCTTTGGAGAGGGGAAAGGGAGGGTCCATCTGGAAGGGGAAAAATTGAAAAGATCATAGAAAAGATCATAGAACAGTTAGAGATGGAAAGGACATTAAGATCATCAAGTTCCAACCCCCCTGCCTTGGGGAAGGACACCTCACACTAAACCATGTCACCCAAGGCTCTGTCCAACCTGGCCTTGAACACTGCCAGGGATGGAGCATTCACAACTTCCTTGGGCAACCCATTCCAGTGCCTCACCAGCCTTACAATAAAGAACTTCTTCCTTATATCCAATCTAAACTGCCCCTGTTTAAGTTTCAACCTATTACCCCTTGTCTTATCACTACAGTCCCTAATGAACAGTCCCTCTCCAGCATTCTTACAGCCCCCCTTCAGATACTGGAAGGCTGCTATAATGTCCACACACAGCCTTCTCTTCTCCAGGCTGAACAGCCCCAACTCTCTCAGCCTGTCTTCATACAGGAGGTGCTCCAGTCCCCTGATCATCCTCGTGGCCCTCCTCTGGACTTGTTCCAACAGTTCCATGTCCTTCTTATGTTAAGGACATGAGAACTGCACACAGTACTCCAGGTGAGGTCTCAGGAGAGCAGAGTAGAGGGGCAGGATCACCTCCTTCGACCTGCTGGTCACCCTCCTTTTGATGCAGCCCAGGACACGGCTGGCTTTCTGGGCAGCGAGCACACGCTGAAGCCGCCTCATGTTCATTTTCTCATCAACCAACACCCCCAAGTCCTTCTCCGCAGGGCTGCTCTGAATCTCTTCTCTGCCCACCCTGTAGCTGTGCCTGGGATTTCTCTGACCCAGGTGTAGGAGCTTGCACTTGGCTTGGTTAAACTTCATGAGGTTGGCATCAGCCCACCTCACAAGCGTGTCGAGGTCCCTCGGGATGGCATTCCTTCCCTCCCGTGTATCAAGCAAACCACACAGCTTGGTGTCATCGGCAAACTTGCTGAGGGCGCACTCAATCCCACTGTCCATGTCAGCCATGAAGATGTTGAACAAGACCAGTCCCAACACCGATCCCTGAGGGACACCACTTGTTACTGGTCTCCAGCCGGACATTGAGCCATTGACCACAACTCTTTGTGTGCTGCCATCCAGCCAGTTCTTTATCCACTGAGTGGTCCATCCATCAAATTGATGTCTCTCCAATTTAGAGACAAGGATGTCGTGTGGGACAGTGTCAAATGCTTTGCACAAGTCCAGGTAGATGACATCAACTGCTCTACCCCTGTCCATCAGTTCTGTAGCCCCATCATAGAAGGCCACCAAATTGGTTGGGTGGGTTTTCCCCTTAGTGAAGCCATGCTGGTTGTCACCAAGCACCTCGTTGATTTTCATGTGCCTTAGGCACAGCTTCCAGGAGAATCTGCTCCAAGATTTTGCCAGGCACAGAGGTGAGACTGACTGGTCTGTAATTCCCCAGGCCATCCATTTTCCCCTTCTTGAAAATGGGGGTTACATTTCCCTTTTTCCAGTCATCGGGAACGTCACCTGACTGCCATGATTTTTCAAATATGATGGAAAGTGGCTTAGCAACTTCATTTGCCAGCTCCTTCAGGACCTGCGGATGGATTTCATCAGGTCCCATGGACTTGTGCACGTTCAGGTTCTTAAGATGGTCTCGAACCAGTTCCTCTCCTGCAGTGGGCCCAAGGTCTTCATTCTCACAGTCCCTGCGTCTGCCTTCCAAGACTTGGGTGGTGTGGTCAGAGCCTTTGCCAGTGAAGACTGAGGCAAAGAAGTCATTAAGAACCTCAGCCTTCTCCAAATCCAGGGTAGCCAGTTCTCCCGAGAGCTTCCTGAGGGGCCCTACGTTGTCCCTAGTCTGTCTTTAATTTGCTACCTATAGAATCCCTTCATGTTACCTTTCACATCCCTAGCCAAGTTTAATTCTAACTGGAAAACAGGTTGTAAGCAATGCACCTTGTTCTGCTGGTGAAGCTTTATCAGTCACAGCCTCAGGGCTGGAGCCCCAGAGCTGGAAATGGCAGAACCTGACTCCTGTTTAGGCACATAAATGAATAATAACAGGGGTCATCGCATCCGCTCTGCTCACTGCCAGATATGTCTGGTATAACTGAGCCGTAGGCACGCAGACCTGACTGTTTACTATCGCCACTGAAGCATTTTTATTGATGAAGATTCAGGGGAATGCTGGACAACAGAAGCAGAGAAATAACTTCAATAGGCAGAGCAATGTCTTTGTACAAAACAGGAGCATGATCTGAGATGGAAAACATAAAAAGATTGTGTTTTCACAGCAAGGTCATGTCTCTAGAATTTTATTCCTCCTCTTTTCTATGAAAATGTCCTTTACCAGGGAGAAATAACTTCTAGTCATGTTGTATTGCTCTTGAAACTTAACCTTTCTCTAGCTGGGCTCTTTAAATCACTGGAAATCAGGGTTTTCTTATAAACAGACTACAGATCAGCTTACATTTTTGTATTATTTGGCTCCCTCATTTCAGAAACGACATAGGCCAAACTCTTCCCTGGCATAACTCCAGTCCCAGTTCTCCTATTCTGAGAATGCTGGGCCAAATTCCCGCTCCCTGTTTTGTCAATATATGTTCAGAGCCACTCTGCTGCAATCACTGGAGTCACATATCATTGCCACTAATGTACTGCTGAGCAGAATGTAACCCTCTCTATAAATATCACTTTGGTCAAGGGAGGTAAGGAAAATAATGCTGAATGTGGCCTTAAGGATATTACTTATTCTGTTGAAAGATCATTCACTCTTGGCTTAACTTATTTCAAGCATGACAGTCCGGGAAAAAAGTGCATCTGTGAGTGGAATGAGACTCAATAACAGTCAATAAGACCCAGTGTATTGCGGTATTATTAAATGTATATTTGTGCTGAAGCATGCTAAACCTCAAAGACTGGATATAAATGTCAATGTCTATTGAATTTCAGGAAGAGATGTCTGGTGGTAACCATGCTCAGTGTCATTCTGCAATTTGTAATCTGTGTTAACACGGGGGCTGTGCATAGGCACGTTCCTGTTGGGAGGCAGAGAATTTGTCTCTTCACAGTCAGTTTATGAGAAGTGAATTTCTCCCTCTACTTCCCTGACAGGATTGTGAGATTCCCTTTGAGTGAAGTAGCAGTGATGTGCTACCATGCAAGTAACATGTGAGCCAAGAATTCCATCATTGGTTAAGGATAGTGCTTAGTTAAAGGCTAAGGGGTCCTGGTGCTTTGAGTAAGCTCCCACATCTGGTGGGCAAAGCATCCTTTGTGCAGACTGGAGATCCTCCACACCTCTGCAGCGACTTCTCCCCATGATAAATATGGCATTCATGCATCTAATCAGAGAACGTGTCACAAGTGATGGAGACAAGTCATCCTGCAACAGAAGGATGTGGTTTGCAAGTGGTGTCTGCAATATGATTAAGCTAGGGAAGGCAGAAGAAAGTGACTGGTAACTGTTTGTCAGTGTGGTGAACGACTTGCAACCGTGCCAGGTATTTTTGTTAGTTGTGTTCTGAGCCCCAAGGCCAGCTGTTAAAGCATCACCAACTTGTTTCGCTATCAGTGGGAGAGAGGGGCACCAGTGAGTAAATCATGTCTTTGGCTTCACAGACCTGCAGCTATCTGTCCTAAAGCAGAGAAGTTGGCATTTAATCTGAAAAATACTGGACAAAATAGTTGATGTCTGGTGAAAAACCTAATCGGGGCATATCCTTTCTGCAGCATGTTTTTCTTTTGCCCACTGGGTGATGGATGTGAGAGATTATTCAGAAACAAGAAGGATTGGCTGCTGTGGAGGCACCTGTCCTGGGCAGGCAACACAGCAGCAATGAAGATCCTCAGTGCTAAAAATACCATCATCTTCCCAAGCTGCCTGGTACCCAAGCTAGCTTGGTGTGCTCTGGCTCACTCTTCATACAAGGCACTAGGAGTTGGGACTGCTGTTTTCTGGGGCTGCCACAGGCCTCTTGTGTCTTGTTTTGTGTGAGAGTTGTACTCTAGAGACATGTTGCTCACTGGCATCCAGGTGAAAAACAGCCAGGATTTGCAATTCCATGAGACTGGATTCTCCTTTCCTACACCTAGAATTGCTTTGGAGGTCTTTAAGCTTTGTGCAGTTACAAAGGACAGCACGAGGCACTGCAGAATCAGACCCAATCTGCCTACTGATACCTTCAAGGCTTCCTGAAGTATGTTGAGATCCACTTCTGTGAGGTGTTGAATGGTGAAAATAGGAGTCCAGAAAGAGCAGTTATCCATGGATTTATCAAAGAACAGTGTCTACACTTGATAAATAAACTGCAGAGAAAGTAAATCAAGAAAATACTTAAACTGAAGACAAAGCTGATGTGGCTGCTGAGCTCTTGATAATGACAGCAATGGGAAGAGCTCAACAGATCATGCACAATTGTCTGAGTGACAGATGGGAATACGTTTTATTCTTCTCACCAAGAAGGACAGTATGATAGCTTTAGCGTGATCTCGTTTTCTTCTGCTATCAACACTTCCCTGCAGTTCATGCTAAAGTGGTTAGCCAAGGCAGGGTTTCCTAGGAGAAATACAAGGCCTGGTGGGACATTAGCCATCTATTTAGCTGCCACTGGTTACTACAGGGGAAAACCTGAGCAACAGATTTTCCCTCCCCCTCAATACCACGGTTCCATCAATCCCCCAACGCTGGGAAAGGGGAATGAATGGAAAGAGGAGAATACTTCTTGTCCTGGGTAAACCATTGCATGGCCATAGCCAGTGCCAGACCTCCAAGCTTGTGTTTCCTGGAGCTTGTACTGACACAACTAGTCCATGGTCAGAGCAGGTTAGCTTCCCTGATTCTGGTTTGGATGTCTGTCCCTCTTCCAGCCCTGAGCAGAGCCAGTGAGCAGCACCATGAGCCTCCAGCCCATTGCAGGGTGCTGCTGCTTCATCGGGCAGCTTTCCCTTTGGGGACAAACAGCTGACTGAGAAGAGCCTCTAGGAAGGCAGTTAGGTCCTGGGCCTCTCAGTTATCTTAAATGTCAGGCCTAATTGCTGCAGAATCTCCAGGGGGCTTGGAGTGAACCTGATGCCAGGCTTCCCGTGGCACTGCACCCAGATACTAGCTTGTGGGTAATTTGATGGTCTTCACAGTTCACATTTGGAACTAATCACACCCACGGTGCAGCAATGATGTAACGGGGGGTTCCAGCCCAGACTCCCATGTGCTTCAGCTGAAATGCATAGCTGAAATCAAAACCAGACCCACTCGGTGCAACAGCATTATGGGCATTTGCTGGGCTTGCCATTTTGCCACTCAGATCTCTTGTGG